CAGCGGCGCAAACGTGCACGGCCGCGGCAGCGCCGAGTGACGGCGGCCGCCGAGGAACAAACTAGGTGCGACTGTCGGGCTGGACGCCGGGTTCGGGAGACGAGAGGCGGGGACAAGTCTCCGAGGCAACCCCAGCTTGGGGCGGAGACAATCTCGGAAATTTCGGAGTGGTGACCAGTACTAGGCTGGGCTGATTTCTCCTTGGCAATTTAGATCTGGGACGAGGCACTCACTGGGCGGAACCCAATAGTCACGGCGGTGCCGCGGGGCGGGGCCACGGGAGGGCGGTACCCGGGGCGGGGCCACTGGAGGGCGGAGCCACGGGAAGGGGTACCATGGGCGGGGCCGTGTGAGGGCGTGGCCACGGGGGCGGCACCCGGGGAGAGACCACGGGAGGGGCTGTGCCGGGGGCGGGGCCGTGTGAGGGCGGGGGCACGGCAGGGCGGAGCCGTGGGAGGGCGGGGCCGAGCCTCTGTCAAAACTTGGGAAGCGCTCAGGGCGCTTGTTAATGCTCAGACCCTTCTCGGGGGCCCTGGGACCTGTCAGGCCGGCCACTGGCAGGCCTCTGCACTGCTTGCCCGCGCACCCCACCCTGTGCCTGGTGCACCGTCCACAAAACTTCCTGTGATTTCTCGCTACCTCCCTGTTCCAATGTCATCTCTGGATGCCCTCCTCAGCGATAGTGTGTGCACATGATGGGGGGTAAAGTCAGCTCCACCACACAGGGATCCCAGCTTCTGGTTTCTGTTTTGCGCCATGCAGCACAGACCACTCCGTGGACGTGCATGAGAGAATGTAGATGGACCTTATTCTGGGTTCAGGGAGGAGAGTCCAGTTTAACTGGCCCCCTCACCTCACTTTGATCCTTGGTCCAGGAGGGACGTGCATGTGGCTTAGCAGGCCAGGGGTCTCTGATTGAGCGTGAACCCAGAGCGTGAACCCCCTCTACCCCTACAATGAGCAGAAGCCATGTCATCCCCCAGGCCAGACCAGGGTAACTGGTGGTCAATGCAGCCTGTTTCCTTACTCAGCGAGCACTCATTGAGCACCTACTGCATGCATCCCTGGGATGAGCACTGGACTCAGGGAGACAGAAAACAGTGGTCTAGACTTGAGATCAGTGAGACGCAGACACACCTCCACACTGTCATTTTATGGAATATTGTCCTGGTGGAGCCTTGCTTTGGGAGATGTGAGGGCTTCACGAGGAGGAGGCCTTAGAGCTGGGATTTTGAGGAATGAATAGCAGTTGATTCAAGCCTGTGTTTGAATGGCAAGAAGCTGAAGAAAGGCGTTGGTTGCTGCCACCTTCCAGTCCCTTTCAAGGCTGTGGACATGCCATTCCTGCTCTACTAACTAGAGTGTTCCAGCTGGTCATTGGGGGTCTAGGGACGCACAGGCCTGTTGTGGCCATCAGCCTCAGGTCACTGGGCAGGACAGAGCTTGGAGGCTCCAGGCCTCTTCCCAGTCATTCCAGGTCATTCATCTTGCAGACACTGGTGAGGCCTCACAGGCTGGGCCCTGGAGCCTGTGGGCATGAGTACAAGTCCACACATGACTGTGTGTGTCCCCTCCCCCATGTCCACACGTGATCATGTGTGCGCACCCCCCACGCCCACACTTGACTCTGTGTGTGTGTGTGTGTGTGTGCATTCCCTCATGTCCACATTAACTCTCTGTGCGTGCACTCCTGCCCTCGTGTTCATACATGGATGTGTGTGTGCTCTTTCACTCCTGTGTCCACACATTACTATGCATGTGCCCTCTTGCTACTCTGTCCGTGTGTGGCTACTTGTGTGTGTGCTTATATGTCCATGCTTGGCTCTGTGTGTGCACTCCTATTTGTGTCCACACATCACTGTACATGTGCCCCTGTGTCCACATGTGTGTGTGTGTGTGTGTGTGTGTGTGTGCGCACTCTTGCCTTTGTCCACCCATGGCGGGTTGTGTTTGTGCCCCTAGGCACACTTATGGCTGTAAGTGTACATTCATACCCATGTCTACCTGTGACTGGTTCTTTCTGTGCCCCTATGTCCATGTGTGGTTGTGTGTGTACCTCCCACCTCTATGTCCACATGTGGCTTTCTGTGTCCACTCATGGCTGTGTGTGTGCCCCTATGTCCATGCATGGTTTTCCGAGCACTCTCCCACCACTGTGTCCATGCATGGCTGTGCATGTGCCTGTGTCCACACATGACTGTCTGTGTGTACTTCCACCTCTGTGTCCACATGTGCTGTCCATGTGCTCTCCTAACCCTGTGTCCATGTATGGTTGTCCACGTGCACTCCCACCTCTGTGTCCACCCTTGGTTGTCCTTGTGGACTCCTGGCTGTCTGTGTGCACTTCCATATCTGTTTCCACACATAGCTGTCCATGTGCACTCCCGTCCCTGTGTCCCGCGTGGCTGTCCATGTGCCCCTGTGTCCTGCGTAGCTGTCTGTGTGTACTCCCACTACTGTGTCCACGTGTGGTTGTCCGGGTACATTCCCACATCTATTCTACACATGGTTGTCTATGTGTACTCCTGCCTCTGCGCCCCACACGGTTGTCCATGTGCACTTCCACCTCTGTGTCCACAAGTGGCTGTCTGTGTGCGCTCCACCCCTGTGTCCACGTGTGGTTGCCCGTGTGCCCTTGTGTCCTGTGTAGCTGTCTGTGTGCCCCTGTATCCCACATAGCTATCTGTGTGCGCTCCTGCCCCTGTGTCCATGTGTGTCTGCCCATGTACCTCTGTGTACCGCGTGGCTATCTGTGTCCCACTGTCTGTGTGCACTCCTGCCCCTGTGTCCTGCACGGTTAAATCTATTCTCCCATCAGCTTTTGCTGGCTTTTCCTTTAATAGTTTATATTCCTTTTCCTTGTTTGTGTTTTGTTACTTTCTCCTTTGTCATATTTGTGTCTTGACTAGTTTTTTACTTTGTCAATATTTCTTTCTGGTTATTGCTTTACATCTTTTTATAAAACCACTTTTATCTATCCATCCATCCCTATCTATCTATTTATTTATCTATCTATCTATCCATCCCTATCTGTCTGTCTATCTATCTATCATCCATCCATCCCTATCTGTCTATCTATCTATCCATCTATCCATCTCTATCTATCTATCTATCTATCTATCTATCCATCCATACATCCACAAGATACCCACCAGAAGGAAGCACCCTCAGCCACCCGCCCATGTACACAGAGCTCCGGCCTGCCTCTTGTGAGGCTGTGCTGCTGTTTAAGTGGGTCAAAGGTTTATTGTTCAAAATGGCTTTCCTACTTCTTTTCTGACACCTTCACAAGGCTGAACTTGTGGTATCTCCTCTCCGAGCTTCATGATGCCGCCCAAGTACGACAAAGAAAGAGATGCCAGAAGGTCAACCAAGAAAGAGACTCAATGAACAAGCCTGGGGTCAAGTCAAGAAGTAGCCAAGGGCGGAGTTCTGGACAAGCTCAGCAACCTGGTCTTGTCCGACAGAGCCGCACAGGACAACCTGTAAAGAAGTTCTCAGTTGCAAGCTTATCACCCTGGCTGTGGGCTCTAGGTGACTGAAGGTTCAGGGTTCCCTGGAAGCATGGCCGTTCAGGAGCTGCTCTGTAAATAATTCACCAAGCTGATTTCAAAACACACAAGTAATTGACACCAGAAACACCAAAGGCGGCAGTGCTGCCACTGCTGCTGAAGAGGCATGAACAGGTCCACCACTGTACGTTTGTTTAAAAAAAGAAAACTTGATTCAATAAAAACGCCAAAAGAGCAGCTTTCCCAGCCTTTGGCTTTGACTCTGCCCCATGATGGGCAGGAACATGCGTGGGGGGCATGTCAGTCCCTCCACAGTGAGCAGAGTCAGCAGCAGAAGCTGGGGCTCAGCGCCAACGAGCGAAAGGAAGCAGCTAATCATCGGGCCAGGTTCCTGTGCTGGCCAGACCCGGCCCCACACGGGGACAGCAGCCTCCACA